TGCACTTGTATAACATTTAAAAAAGAAAAACTAACCCCAAGTCATCTTCTGTTCCTTTTCTGAGCCAACTTTAGTCCTGCTCATTGTATCCAAGAACTCAGAGGAAGCCATACGTGCTACAGCTCAGGCTTACCAAACCTCCAGGCTTTGGTACATATCTTGATTAAAAAGAAACTAAGCTGGCTCTATGGGATGTAACAAAAGATGTCAGAATTTTAGATAAAGCTAGGGTCCATCTAGAAGAGGACAGAGAAATACACTTAACCTTCCTTTCTGGCTATCTGGTTTCTTTCTCTAGAACAACAACAACAAAATGATGCCAATTTAGTAGAAAATGGGGGCTCCTACCTACATTTAAGTGATTATTGTGAAAAAGAGCTTCAAGTTTAGCAGACTTGGTACAAATCTGCACTACATAAAGAAAAGCTAATATACCACACCCATCTTGGGACTGAAACTAAGCACAAAGATGGACTGGAAAATATATTTTCTGCTAGATCATAGAGAATGGATATATATAGAGAGAAAAGTCTTTAAGCAGCTTATAAAATACAAACTTTACGTTTTACACGTGTCTGTCTTGCTGGTGGTCAGGCAAAGGTGAGCAGGACAAAGTCCAAGGCAAGGCAGGGTTATACAAGACACAGGCCCCCAAGACTTGCCAGTCTCCCTGTGAGTTAATTCTGTCTAGGACTCACAGACGGATAACAATGTGCGAACACTGGGGATCCCTCAAATTTTCTTAGGCAGTCATGACAACATCAAAAAAGAGAGAGAATTCTTTTAACTTACTGGTTTAGTGTTATCCTTTTAAAGTATCCAATTCTATTCAATTCTCTCTCTATGGGATAGCCTTAATTTCTCTTATCTTTAAAATGAGAAACAGCCCCTTTCTTTTTCCTCAGTACTTCCCACCCATAACACTTGGCAAACTTGCCTCATTTCTACTCTGTGCTTATCTCTTCTTAAACCTTACAGCACCGACAATGTGGCTGAAGATAAAGATTTTCCTTCTTTCTTCATTGTTAAATAGTGAACTGAAAAGATGCGTGAGTTCCCTAAGGCCACACACAGCATGTCTCTGGTGAGAAGAGTATCCTGACCCCAGGTGGAGCACCAGATGGAAGAAGCAGGTTTCTCCCTAGTCAGAGGCCAGGGGGACCTGGTGTGGCATCCTGCTTTCTCATTCCCCTTCTCTCCATGCACAGCCTACATTCCCAGGGATCGGAGGGATGAGAGTGTGCAATGAAGCAGAAGGTACACAGCACCCAAGGGAAAGTGCCATAAAGAAACAGTGGGATGCATTACAGGATGCAACAGCTAGGAGGGCCCTTACAGCACATCTAATTCAAACTCCTAATTTTATAAGTACAGCAAGGAGCCCAGAAAAGTTAAGTAATTCATCCAAAGATATACAGCTGGTGGCCGGGACCCAGGTCACCAGCCTACTCCTCTGATCCTCCAACACACAACAGAACTGAGTATAGGAAAAAGCAAAATATAAAGTTAAGTCCAGGGGCTGGCCCTGTGGCCAAGTGGTTAAGTTCATGAGCTCCGCTTCAGCGGCCCAGGGTTTCACCAGTTTGGATCCTGGGCATGGACGTGGCACCATTCGTCAAGCCAGGCTGAGGTGGCGTCCCACATGCCACAACTAGAAGGACCCACAACTAAAAATACACAACTATGTACTGGGGGGCTTCGGGAGAAAAAGGAAGAAAATAAAATCTTTAAAAAAAAAAAATAAAGTTAAGTCCATAGACTACAGCCCCATCACCACTGCCAATCAAATAAACGGACTTCTTTTAAAACTATCCATGTCTCAATCTCCCATTTCTTTTCAGCCCCATTAGCTTACTAAGCTCAAATTTCTGATTCTTATCCAGGACTTAATAGATACCCTGGTGGCCTGAGTAGTTAGAATCCCAACTCTGCCCTAGCATGTTGCAGCCTGAGAAGGGAGATCTTTGGGAAGCAGGAGTAGAATATATAAGCAGCCTCTCCAACTCAGGAATATTCTAGACAACACATCATGCTTTAATAATGCCAACTCTAAACTCAGCAGCTTTTGAAGCTTATGCTGGCAGAAAGGCAACAGGCTACCCATCCAGCAAGAGAGAAAAATTCAAGAATTAATGACAAATAAGGAAGCTGGAAGGAGGGCAAATGCTTTGAGTTCAGTCTGGAGGGTCTGAGATTACCTCCACTCAGTCGGCGCAGCGAATGACCTTTTAAGGCAGTGTGCGCCACAAAGAATAGGGCACAACACAGCTGGTGTAAACTGGGTCCTTTCACATTTTCTATTTCTGTGCAAAGGAAGTCAGTCCTTGATTATCCCCAAATGATTATGCATTTGGTCCAGTTACCCACAGTCTCTAGGGACCTCCAACCAGTGTTGGCCACAGGTAAAGCTGGTTAGAAGGAAACGACGGTCTAAGGTACTCCCACCTTCCCAAATAAGCAGTTGGCATTTAAGCGAGGGCCGTGGTGCCCCAGGTGAAGGGAGTGACTGACGCATCTTCCAGCAGGCCTGTGGAATAGGTGCTTTTCAACAGGTGCACCATGTGGCTGCATGTCACCCCTGTTCCATCACCTGATGTGAAACTCCTCCAGGACTGGGGACAGGCAGAAGGCATTCAGCCCCAGCATGAGGAGCCAAACAGGCGAATACCTGAAAACTAGCTGAATTCCAAAACCAAAGTATTTGGGGGATTATGTATTATTTTTATATCATTCAATCAAGAGTCAGTCGTAACAAGAATCAATCTTACACCCTCTTTTAGCTTATCTCATCCAAGAACAAATGATTTTCACTGTGTTTCTGAGGATTAGGTACTCTAAAAATGACCATCAAAACAACAGAAAAGACAAAAGACCGGAAAGAGGGATCCTTTTAAAATACATAATAATTAGTAAACTAGCAAACTGAGAAACTATCTCCTTTAAGGGAAAAGTGATACCTCTCATGAGGATGAGACATAATGAATAAAAAGGAAGAAAGGATAAATGAATGAATAAAAAACTCAGAGAGCCAAGGTAAACTAAGAATTTAAATTATAGTCAAATGTTAGGGCCCCAAACTAACATGCAGAATAGGAAGCTGAACAAAAGCTCCTTCTGCCTGCTGGGTTCCTAAGAGTCTAAAATGAGGGATTAAAATGGCTTTCTTTCAACTGAACACATTTTGTCATCTGATTTCTATCCGTGACATGGCTAAGAATAAGTAACTTATAGCTGCACTCTTATGAGGCAACAAATCCTGGAATATTGTGCCTTGTTCACTGTAGGATGGCAGATCACTAATTGCTTGTCTATCAGAAACAAAAAGTCTATAACTTCTATTTTACTTTTAATTAAAAAATTTTTACATTTTTCTTTAAAAATAAATAGGATTTCCAAAAAACACTGACTACAAGGGGAAAATGAGGCAATAAAGGATGGGGGACAGAAGGGAAGTAGAGAGAAGACTCTGAGCCTACAAACACAGTGATCAGGGCACATTCAGAGGGGCTCCGCTAAGACACTGTCCTCCCACTGCCACTCATGTGGAAGCTCAGTGAACACACTGAGACACTGCTAAAGTGTCAAAGAGAAGCATGCCCTTGATATAAACTCCTAGAAGGTGACAGCAATTTGCACTCATTCCAGCAATGTGAGTCCCCCTCCTCACACTCCAATCCCTAGGATTCTATCCTAAAGAAATTCAAAGATATAGTCAAAGCTTTATACGCAAGAAAGTTCATCACAACATCACTGATATTAACAAAGGATCTAAAGCAACCAAAATTTTCAATAAGGTGGAATGGATAATTAAAGTAAGGTAGAGCCACTAGAAATCTGCTTTCAAAGATTCAAAGACACAGGAAATTACTTGTGATACCATGGTAAGTGAGGGGAAAAAATAGGATATCATGGTGTATATGTGTCTGACTCTAGATTCTGTTTAAATATTACACATATTGTACATGCATTTTTAAATTCCGAAAGGAAATTCATAAATATACCTGCAAAGATTAGCTCTGCTCTAGATGGAGGGAAGATGGAGTTTTATTCTTTCTTTAGACTTGTCTCTAATAAGCACGTGTTACTTTTATATCAAGAAAAAATATTTATTTTAAAATCTGCCTACCCTAAAATATCTCATTTAGACAGCAACTGTCAGTCTTAGGAAAAGGCTGCTCAAGTCCAAGGCTGACTCAGAGAACAAAAAGATTCAAATCCACACAGTAACTCTTCGGAAAAAGATGAGAAATCTCACGTGCCACAGTCTAGTTTTCCTCTACCTTGGCTGCTGGCTCTGTGTTACTGGCTTTGCAGGAAGTTCTACTGGAAAACCCATTTCTTCTTCCCACAGCACCTTAAACAACTTCTTATGTGTTTCTCACCTCTTAGTATGAAGATCACAGAGAAAGAGAAAGGAAGAGCCTTGCTCTCTTGTTTCAGAGGAAGAAGTTTTTCTTGTAAAGTTATCAAAATGACTCAAAACCACCTACGCAAGTTTTGAAACTTAAGTCATGAGTTATGTTCAGGAACCATGTATAAAAGCCCCTAATTTCTCAAGAATGAATATAAAACAAAATCTAGGAGTGCCACCTTGTGGCAAGCCTGACTACTATGACAACCACCCGTCCATCTCCACGGTTCTCCACCTGGGCTCCACGCAGTACAGCCACTGAGACACACGCCCCAGAATAACATAGTGCGTTGAACACACGGTCCCCAAAGTGGCTGGTACTATTCATTTTCAAGGATTTCTAGTTTAGAAATGCCTGTTTGAGGACAAGTGGCAATGAAAGGGCAGAGAACAAAATGCAGGACGTGTATATGAGTTTGTGAGCTGCTGCTGCTGACAGGCTGAAGGAACAGTGTGTGTGAGGTATACCCATGCACACATACCACGGTACCGTCATGTGTAGGAACCTGCAGGATAAATATCTCCTCCCCCAAGAATATTTACCGATTTTATAAAGTTACGAAGAAAAAAGTTTTACATTTACAATCAGTGAGCTTTGTGCTTAGAAGAAGTTTTATTTATCAATGTTAGAGCAACCATCGCCAACTTGGGCACAATTCCAAAACAGAGCTGTTGATGGATTCTGGCTAAAAAATTCTTTTTTAAACTTGTTAAGATCTTGTAAAGTAAGAAAGTTTTCCTACTACTTTAGAAAAAATACTAATCACTAATAAATTGATTTCATAATCAAACTGGTGGCCTCACATTTTGAAAGATAAAACACCACCGATTTGAACATCTAAATGTACTAATTAATCTCGGCGTCCTAGGCATGAGAGGAGATGGAGGAATCCTTACACTGCAACCTGACCAAATGACTCCGGGAGAGAAGTAAGTGCTTAAAAGAGGCCAGTGTTGCAAATCTGATGGAACAGGGAACACTGAAGGGAACTGATATTGATTCTGAGAAAAGATAATCTTCCTCTCAGAAAGGGAGTAAGCTACAAACCTTGCAGTTCTGGGAGGAGGATTCAACAAGCAGACCACAACCGGCACAGAAGGAAAAGCTGAGCAAATCATCAAAGTTCTATCAGGAGTTGGTGCTTATGCTTCTCTCTGCCCCACCCAAGTGGAAGGCCTATTTCCAGAAAAGGATTCCCCCCAGTGTTAGGGTGGAAGCATATGGCAGGAAGTCGCTGCTTTGGTCCTGGACATGTAAAGGGGAGCATTTTCAAGCACATGAAACAAACTGAAAGCGACCTAGAAGGGATGGATCCCAACCAGGTGAGCTGCAGGACAGCAATAAGCCAAAGAATTTACAATGATGAGGTTGAACCGGGAAAATGAATCTGACCCCTTGTTCACCTCTCCAGCTTTTGGAAGCACGTTTTCTCCCCTCCTAACCTAATGGGACTGAAATCTTTTGACAGCCCCTGTTTGAGATAAACCAACACACTGGGCGGGGAAGAAACATATTAAAGAGCTGAGAGTCCTGACAAGTCACTTCAGGAAGAATCTTCCATTTGTCGTCTGCACATGGACAGCAGAAGAGGGAAAGTTAAATAAAGGCCAAGGCCTGCCTCATCCACAAAAATAAAAAAAGGAGGAAAAAGCAATTCTCACTCTGCCTAACTAAAATTCAAAGCCGTAAGCTCCCCTTAAAAGAATAGCCTTGCTCCACCAGAAGCACCGTGGGATCAGTATGGGTTAGTATTCTGAGTTGCGTCACCAGGCTTTGACAAGGAAAAATCTATTAAAAGAGGAAGAGGTGACTTGTCCACCTTAACTCCAGCTTCCCAGCTGTCCTAACCTGGGAGCAAAGCACCTATCACGACAGCTTGATGGGAAGGTCTACCCCGTACTTCCGGAGCAGCTTCTGATGGTTGTGGTCCACTGACCACTGCTGAGGCAGGTGCTTGGGCTGCATGGAGTCCAGGAAATGCTGACGCCAGCGGCTCTCCAGCTGCATGAGGGAGCGCAACCCACCCTGGGAATGGCACTGCACCACCTTCAGCCCATGAGGAACGTAGCCTTCATTGGAAATCCTGCCAAGACACAAGTACAAAGCGTCTCAGGGAAACAAGCACAGGACAGTCTCACACACGGCTCCACATGCTGTGGTTCAAGGCACCTCCACAAGGGTATCTGGGGAGGCTGCTAGACTCCTAAAAGGTTGGTTCATGTTTTTAAAACATTCTCTTTCCCATATGTGCCTTTTCCTAAAAATAGTTTGGACAAATTGCATACAATCCAACAGAAGGCACTTCAGGATTCTGAGCTATACTTATGGGAAGGCCACTGAATAATGCTCAGCCCCAACAAGAGAGGCCTTACTGTCTCGCTGATGATGGGTGAAAAATGTTGGTCTTTTATTTACTCCAGGGTTACCCAGTTACCAGCTCACCCTTCTTTTAAGCTATTCATTCTGAGCCATACTTAGTATTTATATGTGGCTGTTAAATTGGCCCACATGTTCCAGTTTTTCATAACAGTGTAATACCTCAATGTAAAACGCAAGGTGGTACATTTCTTTAGTGCCTTTTCTCACAAAAAGAATGCCAAACCACATCCATGAGAAGTGTTTCAGTCATGATGATACGCTACCATGGCTGCTCAGCTGTGCAGCCAGTGCTGTTTAACGGGAAGACAAATCTTTGCCTCCTTCCTAGCTAAGCAGAGAGGCTTTAAAACTGCTCTGAAACCATGCAGACAGTGCTTCCACCTCCTGGATAAAGATCACCTTTCTCAAGGAAGCTCCCTGCCCCACGGACTCCCTTCCTCTCTCTGCATCCACACCCCACTCTCAATCCTCCCTCCCAAGACCCCGACTAGTCTAGCAGGGTTAGTATTCCCTGGGATCTGCAGACATATTACTATTTAGCCTGTGAGCATCCCACTAACTTGCCTATCTTTCCCCAAACAGCTGTTCTTCTCAGTCCTAGACAGCGAAGTCCAGCATCCTCCTATCCAAGCCAGCAGGATGAATTCGTTAAAAAGCTCTGTGGCTGAAAGGGGAAATTTAGCTCTTTGAGGAAATACATTTGGGAATTGGTTAAAGGAGCCAGTCTCATTAATTTCTAATATGACCTTCACAAGTTACTTAACTTTAACCTCAGGATATCTAATATAAAACTTGGCAAATAACATCTATTCTACAACTTTATATAATAGTTATAAGGATAAAATTCAATAATAATTTTTTTAACTTTGAAAGATTTTTAAAATTCAGGATATAATGCTGGAAGTTACTAGTAAGAAATCTAAAACCTACCTCATACTGTCACTATAAGACATAATTAAGGCAATTTATGCAAGGTTTATTAGCTTGGTTAGACAGATTAGCATATCTGTAAATATGTGTCTAATAAATATTTGCTGCTATACATTAAGGTTTTTTGGGTTTTTTGATAACAAAATACTATAGGCAGCCAGCATCACTAACAGGGTTTTGTGAACTTAGTTCAATTATTTCAACCCCTAATACTATTGAAAAAGTGACTGTTGGGAGGCAAAACTCCAGTAGGTAGCCCAGAGCTTCATCATCTGAGCCATGTACCTATTCATTTCTCAGGAGCATAAACTTCCATTTAGGAACACTGAGTTAAGTCATATGAATTCAAATACATACTCATAGGAAAGGAGGGACAAAGCAAGGAAGGAAGGAAAAAGGAGAAAAGTCATTTAAATAGTAACAGCAAGTCTGGCCAACATTCCATTCGGTGGGCCAAGACCCTGGAGTGCAGGTCAGATGGGAAACATGAATCCAGCCATCTCAGTTCTCATGGTCCTAGATAAGGTAAGAAACAAAACCACATACATCGCATTTCATTGGCAACTTCAAAGATTTGAGGGTATTTTTGACTATTATTTCATTTTATGTGCCGACTTGAGGGTTTATTTCTGCATAGAATGTATAAGGCACAACTCCACTGCATTTGAACTCTCCTGCTAATCATGGAAATGACTGGCCATAAGTATATGATCTAAAAGGGTCAAATATAGAAGGCAAGTCTCCTATGGAAAGGAAATTCTCAAACAGGTTGTCCTATCCCATCCCCAAGGTATCTGAAGCCATGAGACTATGCCCTGCACCTAAATGGCTAACGCCCCTTTCTGACAAGTGTTCTCACTGAGCAGTCAGGGTTAACGTCACTGGGTTATTCCTCAATCCCTTCTCTGACCAGAACAGTAAATTGTACCTGGTCTCCAGGTTGGCAGCCTCTTGAAGCATCTCATCCGTGACGGTGTCTGTGTTATAAAACTCTCGGAGAGCTTGCAGCAGCTCTTGCTTTCGATGAGCAGGCAAGCTCTCTGCGTTGAGCAAGGCCCTGGCTCCAGAACGCACCTGCCGGCGCTCAGGATCTTCCAGCAGACGCAAGCCCTCCTCGGAGCCAATGGGGGCCTGGAACTCCCTGGCCAGCTGCTGCTTCAAATGGTTGTCATAGTAGTTGGAGATGGCGTGGCAGGAGGTGCAGAGCAGCAGCACATCGTGCGAGTTGTGGTCCTTCATCTCAATGGGGAAGTGCTTCCGGTACTCGTGTGGAATCACGTTCTTCCTGAAAAAGCCCACCCAGAAGGCAGTGCTCATTAGCACATGACACAGAATATATATGGAACTAGCAGGTGGGCTACTGGGATTCTGATCTGGGCCTGAACGTGACTGAGAAGCCTCGGGCACTACAACCCAACAGAGACCACATACAGGCAATCCTCCCTAGTCTACTCTCAGCCCACCTACGTACCAGGGCCTTACGTTTCTCTCTCCTTGAAGTAGGTACAGACCACCTGCTATCAGGCTTCAGTAGAGGGCTGGGGGAGGGAGAGGCTCATAACAACCTTTGAGAAGTCTCTGATCCCAGAAGGAAAAGCATCCAAGAAATGACAAGAAATTCTAATAACTTTTAACATCTGGAAAACAACTCTCTCAAAGCCTGTAGCAGGTAACCTCTACTCCTGAAATTTTGGAAGCCTGGTGACCTGAAAAGGCCAATTTCCTTCATCTGAGGAATCCCTTCCTCTGAGATTATTTCCCTGGTTCATCAAAGTCCACCATTAATTTCTAAGCAGAACTAAGCTCTCAGGAAAAACTTCTGGCAGCAACAACTAATTTGTCTGACTTTTCAAGGGGAGAAAGGAGGACAGTGAGTCACTCCACAGAAGCCAGGGAGAAAGCCCAAGGGTCTGGGCACCCGGGCCCAGCAGGCTGCTTCACCTTCACCACGAGGAGACCCTGGTGCAGCATAGTCTTCCCAGACTACTCCAGAGTGTGCCTTCAGGGCATCTGGATACTTCACTGCAGATACCAAAGATCAGAAAGCTTGTGAGCCACTCCAGGGAGGGTTATAGGACACAGAGAGAAAGGCGGCTTCTGAAGGAACTGATCTTTGTTCCTTCGTGAGCAAAAGGGAACCATTCTGTTTATGGCGAACCGTTACTGAGAAGAGTGCTGCATTCCAGAAACTAAGAACTGGGCTTCGGAGGAGTAGGGACCACTAGAGCAAGGCCAGGCAGAATGTGGAAGCTCTCAGGGAAATGAGGATGCCCCCTAGGGACAAGTCTCTCAGTCCAAGTGGGCAGACTTAACCAAGGTCCCTGAAGGCTCTGCATGTGGCCACAAGGGCAATTTCCATCCGAGGCAGACACTCAGGGAAGCCCAATCCCACACTCACCGAATATAGGAGTCTTTCTTGCCACATACTACACACAGGTTCTCTTTAACCATCAAGTAGTAGTCTCCTGGGGATTCAGGTCTTCCCGCAGGTTCAAACTGTAGCTTGACCACAAAAGGCTCTTCGCTCACCAGCTCTTAGAGAAAAGAAGTGTGAGTATATGACTGCCCACCTCTCCCCAGGGAAGAAGTACCACCTTAACTGTTCTTTGCTGTGTTCTGGCAGAGCTCACTATTTCTGGGTTTTTTTATTTTTATTTTTAATTTTTTTTGAGGAAGACTAGCCCTGAGCTAACATCTGCTGCCAATCCTCCTCTTTTTGCTAAGGAAGACTGGCCCTGAGCTAACATCTGTGCCCATCTTCCTCTACTTTATATGTGGGACACCTACCACACCATGGCTTGCCACATGGTGCCATGTCCGCACCCGGGATCTGAACCGGCGAACCCCAGGCCGCCAAAGCGGAACGTGTGCACTCAACTGCTGCACCACCGGGCGGGCCCTATTTCCGGGTTTTGAATAGCCCCGTCCCACGTGTCTTAAGGTCTCTCTGCTTTCTTCTTTCCATCCCTCTCCCTTATCTCACTCCCCACTCCTGCCAGTGCCCATATGCATCTAACCATAGACAAAATATGACAGCTGAGTCTCAAACCTCCAATGCCTTTGTCCAGGTACCACTGAGCTTTCCTTCGATCACAAGTACAGAGGGGCTGTCCATCAGGAGCATGAAGAAAGCAGTTATCATAGAGGGGTGATTTTCTATAGGGAAGAGAAAAATAAATCTAAAACTGAAAGCTAACTATTGGTCAAGGTATCAGTTGCCTTCCCATGTTCTCTTCTGAGTGACCCAAGCTATTCTCAACACTCAGTTCAAACGCTACAGTCATGCATCACATAAGAAGGTTTCGGTCAACAATGGACTGCATATACAACGGTGGTCCCCTAAGATTAGTACTGTATAGTCTAGATGTGTGGTAGGCTATACCACTTAGGTTTGCATAAGTGCACTCCATGATGTTTGCACAATGACGAAATTGCTTAAAGATGCATTTCTCAGAACATATCAGTGTTGTTAAGCAACGCATGACCGTACATTTATGGAGAAAACCCAAATATGGGAAGAAACCATGTTTATTCCTCTATCTTTAACGGGCTAGGAAACAGAAGTAAAAGGAATCAGTTTATATTTCTAGTTTTTATATTTACAGATTGGGACATTAGGGAGTGAGTGGGGTAGTGTTTACATAGTTCTATTGTGAAAGAAAACAGGAAGAGAGCACCGAGAAGACGGCCCTATGGAGTAATCACTGGATTAAACAAAGTAAATTAAAATTGAAGAAATTCAGTCAAAGTCATGAGGGCCACGTGGATGTATTTCTGGCTTATAAGCAATACTCGCTTCAATTTAATCAGCCAATTCCTAAAGGCACTTTACTACAGAGACCACATTTCCACTCCAAAGTACTTATTAGTCACTTTCTGCAGTAGAAGCATAAGCTGTACAGGGAAATTCTCATTGGCTGGAGAATAACACTGGCTTCGAGCTGGATGCCATCTAAATAATCAAACACCAAACGAATGAGAAATCAGATGCTGCATTTCTCTGGAAAAGTATGAGGCACTTCATGTTATTCATTTTCACGGCTAGCCTGAAGCAAGGACTAATAATTACATCCTCATTTATAACTGAGGAAAGCACAGGTCTAAGGTCACATCGAGGTCAGTGACAAAGCTATATTAAGGCCTCTTCGTTTCCATTCCAACTATCCAAAAATAAAAAAGCAAAAGAAGGGGAAAGGGAGGAAAATAAATCAAAAGACAGCTCCAAATGCCCTTGAAGGAAAAAGAAAATGAAGTTACCCCTGGAGGGCCTCTGCTCCTTTAGCACACAGCCTTCTCCCTACACCCAAGGTGAGGCAGCAGGCCTTGCGCTGGAGGCTGGGCCCCCGCCTTGCTAAGGGACAGGGAATGGCTGTTACCTGGCAGAATAGCCCACCCCCAGGGGCTTTCTTTTATGTTTTCTGGGGTCCCTCCCCTGGTGGCCGCCCGGCATCGCTCCATCGATCTTAGACTTCTTATTTCTTGGCTTCTGCTGAGACTCTGTCGCCTCCCCAGTAACCTCTTCTCCCACTCTGCTAAGTCCTTTGCTCCGGAATGGGATGTCTACCACATCCTGGCATTTCTCCAAGACTTTTCTCCAGCCAGTGCAGTCACTGTTTTCTTCTGGAGTTGAATTCCTAGAGAAAGGGTATCCAAGAAGATGGAGAAAGAGAGCCACTGAAATCTGGGCATCCCTGGCAGCATAAATTACCTGAAGAGAAAAGTCAGAGATCAGTGGAATCTGGAAGGCAAACTAGAGAAAGTAACTTCAAAGTCAATCACAGAGATACAGACAACTGAGGATTCTAATTCAAGATGTACAATAACCTAGGCACCATGTGCTTCTTAAAAACGTTTCATCACGAAAAATTTCAAACTATACAAAAGTAAATCAAGGGGCCAGCTGATGGCGTAGTGGTTAAGTTCACATGCTCCACTTTGGCAGCCTGGGGTTCACAGGTTTGGGTCCCGGGTGTGGACCTACACACCACTAATCAAGCCACGCTGTTGTGGCATCCCACATACAAAATAGGGGAACACTGGCACAGATGTTAGCTCAGCTACAGTCTTCCTCAAGAAAAAAGAGGAAGATTGGCAATTGATGTTAGCTCAGGGCCAATCTTCCTCACCCAAAAAAAAAAAGTAAATCAAATAGAATAATGAATCCTCACATTTCCCTGTCTATGTTTTTAACTAAAATAGCCAATGTAATGACTTACTCTAAAGGCTCAAAATTCCTAATCTATATAAATTAGTGAAGTTTCTTTCTCTCTGCTACCAAACCTGCTGGACAGATTTTTCTCAAATTTGGGGTACGGTAGTTACCACAGGTCTGACAACTAACACATGAATTTCCCTTTGGGGATGGTCATCGTCTACAACAGCTGAAACCAACATTCATTAAGAGGCCTGTGTGACTGTCAACCAGAAACAACCTGCCATACTTATTACCAAAATGTTGAAAACAGCTTCAAACATGAGCCTCAAAGCAAAGTCACAAGAGTCCATTTCTGGAATTTTATTTAATAATGGTGAGTCATTCTCCCAAGCAACTGGTCACAGGCAAGCTGGTCATAAATAAAAGTAGTCAAAACTATAATTAAAAGCTTTTCCCAACAAAGGGTGCAAGGAATTAAAATTCCTTTAATTCCCCTTTAATAACCAAGCCTAGTAAATCATACTACTAGTGAAGTTTTTTTATGCTTTTAGAATGAAACAAGTTTGGGTAACATTTTCCACCTAGACCCAACAATCTACATGTCTATCAGCAGTCGTCACCCACAGGAAAAGAGTGTGGTTGAGTGTGAAGAGTTCAGAGTGCTTTTCAACAAATTATTTTCGAACAGTAAGAAAATCAAGGCACTTTCAACAAATGGTGGTGGAACAACTGGATATCCACATGCAAAAGAATGAAGTTGGACCCCAGCCTCACAACACACACAAAAATTAACTCAAAATGGATCATAAACCTAAGTACAAGAGCTAAAACATAAGACTCTCAGAAGAAAACACAGGAGTAAATGTTCATGACCTTGGGTTAAGCAATGATTTCTTAGTTATGACATCAAGAGCATGAGTGACAAAAGAAAGAAATAACTAGACTTCATCAAAATTAAAAACGTCTGTGCCTCAAATGACCCCATCAAGTAAGTGAAAAGACAACCTGCAGAATAGGAGAAAATATTTATAAACGATACATCTGATAAGGGACGAGTATCCAGAATGAATGAATATATATATCAACAATATAAAGACAAGAAACCTACCAAAAATATGAGCAAAGGATCTAAATAGATATTTCTCCAAAGAAGATAAACAAACAGCCAATAAGCACATGAAAAGATGCTCAGCATTATTACTCACTAGGGAAAATGTAAGTCAAAGCCACAATGAAATACCACTTTATGTTTACTAGGATGGCTCTAATCAAAAAACAGACAATAACAAGCATTGGTGAGGATAGAGAAAATTGGAACTCTCATACACTGCTGGTGGGAATATAAAATGGTGCGACTACTTTGGAAAATAGTTCGGCAGTTCCTCAAACAGTTAAACATAAATTTACCAAATGACCCAGCAATTCCACTCCTGGGTATATACCCAAGAGAATTTAAAACATATGTCCACATAAAAACTTAGACACAGATATTCACAGTGACACTATTCACAGCAGCTAAAAAATGGAAGCAACCCAAATCTCTGCCAATTGATGAATGGATAAACAAAATGTGGTATATCCATACAATGGAGTATTATTTAGCAATAAAAAGAAATGAAGTACCAATAAATGCCACGATATGAATGATCCACAAAAACATGGTAAGTGAAGAAGCCAGTCACAAAAGGCCACATACTGTATGATTCCATTTATATAAAACGTCCAGAATAGGCAAACCTATAGAGACAGAGAGTAGATTAGTGGTTGCCTAAGGCTTGTGTGTTAAGAGGGTGGGTTGGGAAGTGACCACTAATGGGTATGGAGTTTCTTTTTGGGGTGGTGAAAACACTCTAAAATTAGATTGTGATGATGGTTGTACAACTTTGTAAATACACTGAAATCCACTGATTTGCACACTTTAAATGGGTGAATTTTATTGTATGTAAATTATATTTCAATAAAACTATTAAAAGAAAAGAAGGAACAAATGAACGAACCCAGACACAAAGAAGTAACTTTCTCTGGGTCATAGCAAACCAGAAACAGCTATAGAAAACAAATTCAGATGTGATTCCCGGAACTCCCCTTAAAATAATAACTATTGCTAACTTTTCCCATTAACAATGTTTTGGAAAGATGAACAAGTGGTAACTGACTCAGCAAACAAGAGAAGGCTGACACCTCGGCCCATAGGGAGTGGTAAGCCAAAAATTCAAAAATCAAATTAATTAGAGCCACAAAGAACGGCAAAGCATAAGGAATGGGAAGCACAGGTACCATCTGTGAAAGCAGGATACAAGCAGGGGTGAAACAGGAGGATAAGATGAACGTCTCCATAAAGAACACCTACAACCCCAGATCCCCTCTTTTACCCCACAAGGCCAGGCAATTACTTCTTCTCTGACCTAAAAGAGTAAAAGTTTGTAGAACCAAAACTAAAATGGAGTCACTCATGTCAGGGACAAAATGGAGTTGGCCAATGCAGGCATATTAAAGAAAATGAAACTTAACTTTACTTAACATGAGCTGCAGGAATTTACAGCTTCCCTCAGAAATCAGTGGAGGACAGCAGCCAATCCCCAAACACTGAGTCTGTTCACGCCTTTTCTTCTTTGTTCCCCCGTCTCAACTACTCTGATCCGAATAAGGAAGAAGCCCGCCAGGGAACCAGTTAGCTGAAACAGCCAAATGACTTCTGCATCTACCCCATAGAAGTCCTTTAGTCTGTGAGCAACTCGGAACTCATCGCTCCTGCAGCCTCGAGCTTCCTGGCTTGCAGGTCAAAACCCTTGCAACAAACTCATCTTTTTCCTTTGTTTTACTTAGTGTGCAGAGGTTGGTTTTTGACAAGTTTAAGTCATATAATGGCTAAATCACAGAGGATCTGGACCTAGTAATACCAGTCACGGCGGAGGTTGGAGGCAAAGTGTCACCTAAAAAAGGGAGGATTATGGGAAAGGCTATACACTGAATGGTGAGACTACCAGGACCTTTTCCCCATTCAGCTACCAGAATATAGGCTGTGAGGCTTATACCTCTTGGGCAGAAGACTAGAAGATTCATCTCTGGAGAAACTGAGTAACCAGAGAGAAAAGACTTAGTTACTGACATTTGACTATGATCTACAGTTACTGATAGTTAAACCCACTCGTCCAAAAGCCCTTGCCATATATGCTGTGCTTTCAATCCACTTTTTTTTAATGTCAGATTTAATATTTTCTGTATTTTCTAAAATCTCATTAAGCATGTTTATAATTAGAATGAACACAACAAATATTCTAAAAATAAAGAATGAATAAGCATGTTTGGAAATTCTGAATTCTCACAATAACATGGATCACAAATTTAGTAGCAATCAACTTTTTCTCCCTAACTTTTTATTTTGAAAGTTTTCAAACCCACAGAGAAGTTAAAAGAATGACAACTGACATTCATAATTGTCAATATCTACTTTATCTCTTTATAACGTAGATACCACACAAACACTTGTTTTTTTGGCTGAACACATTTCAAAATTAAGTTGCAGCTATTATGACACAATCTCTAAATACTTGAGTGTGTATCTCTGAAGAGCAAAGACAGTCTCCCACATCATCACACCATTATCACTCCCAAGAACGTTAACACTGACAAAATACAATATATACAGTTCTATTCTAACGTCTCCAATTATCTCCAAAATGTCTTTTACAGATGTTGCAGGATTCAGGGTTTTTAGTATATTTACAGAATTGTGCAATCATCACCACAATCAATTTTAAAACATTTTCATCACCCCCTCAAAGAAACCTTATACACATTAGCAGTCATTCCCCACTTATCCCAGCCATAGGCAACTACTAATTTATTTTCTGTTTTTACAGATTTGCCTGTTCTGTACATTTCATGTCAATGGAACCATTCAACATGTCAGCTCTTGTGACTGGCTTCTTTCCCTTAGCATAATGTTTTCAAGACTCATCCATGTTGTAGCACGTATACTTTTTATTGCTGAATAATATTCCATTGTATGGCTACACCATATTTTATTTATTCATTCATCAGTTGATGGATCCAATCAGCTGTTTAACATCTTCTCCTTAAATATGATTGGACAGCTGAGGATTTAAACATTTGAGAAAAATCTTTAACACAAAAGACAAAGACCAAACCAAACATTTAAAATAAGAAACTCAGAGGAAAAAAGGGCAATGCAGGAAGCAGAAGAAAACTTCAGAAATCTTCAATACTCGAAGATAACAGACAATATTATACCCATTAAACAAAAATGGGAAGTTATTTTTAAAGTGAATACTCAGAGAAGACGAAGGATCTCTCATAACTTAAAAATATGATAGGAATAATTAAAAATAATAGAAATATTGGAAGATAAACTTGAGAAAATTTCCCAGAAGGTAAAACAAAAAATACAGAGATGGAAAATAAGAGAGAAAATATTTTTCTAAGAAAATCAGAAGATCACTTCAGAGGGCCCACTATCCAAATAAAATGAGTTCTAGAAACAAAAGGGAGGGAAACTGTCAACTATTACGAGAATAATTTCCTGAAATGAAAGACATGAGCTTTCCAGATTGAAAGGGTCCACTGAATTCTAATAAGGAAAAATGGCCCACACTAAAGTATATTATTATGAATTTTAAAAACTAAGAATAAAGAGAAGATTTTCCAGAAAGAAAAACAAGTCACACACTCAGTATTAACACTGGAAGCTACAAGACAAGGAGCATTGCCTTCAAAGTTCTGAAGGAAAATGATTTACACCCTAAAATGCTACACTCAGCCAAACTCTCAGTTAATAGAGAGGGAAATCAATATCTTTTCAGACATGCAGGGTGTCAGATTAACTTCCCATGCTCCCTTTCTCAGGAAGCTTTTTACAAAAAAGTAAAAAGATGTGGCCTTCAGAAAGCAGACGATCTACTGTAGAAGGGAAGGGGATTCCCAGGCTGACGGTAAACGCAAGTTCCAAGATGAGAGCTGGCAGTAGGGCTGGAGTGCCATCAGCCTTGAGAGGAGCAGGATGACAGAGGGCTCAAGGAGGGCTGGCTCCAAGGGAAGGGAAATGAGTGAGTTACCTGACGTGCCTGAACCAGCCCAGAGGAGATCACAGTTCTGTTCAAGAGTCTGGGGCTGAAAGAGCTCACAGGCATACAGAAAACTACGCAACCAGAAATACCAATGATCACTCCCGGGAAAACAAGAAGTTGTATAAGAAAAAAACTTAACTGCAGTTTACTATGTGGCTCAGCTATAAATAATACCAATTTAAGTAGTAGATATTAATCTGATAAAAATGATGATTTACCCATATCGGGAGCATGAGGAAGGGAATAAGTATCTGTCTGGGGACAGAGGAATTGCAAGAGTACTAAATCCTGTCTTTCACAGTAAGAAGCCAGAAGATAATATACAAAATAAGAAAGAGTTGGGGCCAGCCCGGTGGTGCAGCAGTTAAGTGCGCACATTCCACTTCAGCGGCCCAGGGTTCGCCAGTTCAGATCCTGGGTGTGGACATGGCACCGCTTGGCAAGCCATGCTGTGGTAGGCATCCCACATATAAAGTAGAGGAAGATGGGCACGGATGTTAGCTCAGGGCCAGTCTTCCTCAGCAAAAAGAGGAGGATTGCCAGCACACGTTAGCTCAGGGCTAATCTTCCTCAAAAAAAAAACAAAGAGTAACATATGCATGTAATTTAAAAATATAATGGTAATTACCAGGAACAAATGAAATTGGTTGCCTCTAAAGAAGGAAGAGCAATCAGGAGCAGTGGGAGGAAGGCAGAGAATTACTGTTTCTTATAAGTCTTATAACACTTTGACTTATTAAATTATGCACTCGTATTCATGATAAAAAAATAACATGTTCTCAAATGCCTGGCATATAGTAAATGCTCAAAAAAATAAAACAGAATAGAGACTCTTACCCTTTTATTTAAGTGGAACCTACATTATTATAGACCAGTTATCTTGGGAATCATCAGACAATGAGTCTACTTTGAGGCATCTATGCCCAATACTTATATCATACTTGAGAATTAGAATTTTAAAAACAATTATACTTCACAAGCAATGGCTCTTCCATTCTTCCACTACTCTGATAAGAAGTACCTGGTCCTCAGTAAGATTCTCAGCATCCCAGTTGCTGCAACGAAGTAGAAGGGACTTGTCAAGGGGAAAGTTCAAAACAGTCTCAGCGAGTGATTTCAGGCTAAGCCCATTACAGAGCAAATTGTTTCTACAAGAAATACATAAAATCAAGTGTGAAAAATAGGCAAAGGATGACTACAGGCAAATCAAAAAAGACACAGAAAAGGCCAATAAACAGATGATAGATATTCAATCTTACTAGACACTTCATAAAATAAAAATTATATATAATTTTTTGATCTATCAGATTGTGAAGATTTTTTAAAATATCCACACTATTGGTGGAGCATGAAGAATCAGAGAGTCTAATCTAAAATTTGTGAACTTTACATTTATACAACCCTTATGAAAAAGGGTTTAACAATAAATAGCTATCAAAATTTTGAACATGACAATTCTCTGATTCAACAATTCCACTTCTAGGAATTTATCCTAAGGACAAAGGTATATAAAACAATCTTATCTGCAGCACTATTTATAGCAGCAAAGAATTGGAAACAACCTAAATGCCCATCAACAGAAGACTGATTAAACTCCATACAGCTACTAAAAATAAGGAAGTGGATCTATATTGATGTGAAAAGATGTCCATGACATATTAGGTAAAAACAGACCGTGAAAGAAAACATGTTTGCTTTCTGTTAATACATACACTACAATACTACATAAGAAATGTGGGTCTGCGATTCCAGGTATGTGAGAGAGAGGAAGCACAAAGACATACTAGAAAGATATTCATCAAATGTTAGTGATATTATCTCTAATATCTAATAGTGATATTACCTCTAATATCACTAACATTTGGGATTTGAGGTGATTATATATCTTCATTATGTTCTTGTATATTTGAAGTGGCTAGTGATCATGTATTACTTTTCAAATTTGAAAAATAAGGCTATTTTCATTGAGGGGGTGAAGGTACAATAAAAACAAATAATAATCTTTCTGCTCTTCAAATACTTTGATTAAAATAGCTGCAGGATGGTGAAAAAAATCAATTTGTCAAGGATTGGAGACTCCAAACAAGAGATAAACATGTTAAGAACACGCAGGTCTACAAAAGTGGAGCTGACTTCCTGGTACCCAGCGAGAGACGAGAAGTTTCAGAGCAGGAAGGTTGGGGGTGGAGGTCCCTGTCAGCGTTACGACAGGCAGGATTCCCTCAGGTACAGCAGGAAATGAAATCATTATAACAGTGAAGAACAGGAAGTCTTCCCTTACAAAAACAACTAGTAAACTGATGGATTTCATCACCCCTAAAAAGCACTGACTGACCAAAAAGTAAAAAAAAAGGATCCAGACACACTTAGGTAAAATACACAAGGTCTTGGTTCAATTCATGGCAATTATGGATTTGGGGAAGACGTAAAACTTTCTTTTGTTTTATTAGAAGTTACAAAAGTAATGAATGCTTATTATTAAAAATTCAGACAATAAAGCAGCATACTGGGTGACAAGTGAAAGCCCTGCGTCCCACTCCCCACTCCTCAGGAATAATGACTCCTAACAGCATGCTGGGGCCCCTCCAGGCTTTTTCTAGGCACAAACAGATGGTTAGATGGAGAAGTAGATAGAGTTTTTTGATATTTGTTTTGTTTTTTGTCCTACAACTTTCTCTATCACTTAATGTATCAGAGACCTCTTTCCACGACAGTAAATGCAAAGGTCCTTATTTCATTCTTTTAAATAGCTGTGAAATTTTTCAGGCATGGATATTCCATAACTTTTGAAATCATACCCTCATTGAAGAACAGTACTTAGTTTTTGTGTATTTAATTCCATTTAGGTCATCTTTTTTTTAAATGTCATATTTGGGAAGGTTCACATTTCTTGAGGGTGAATTAAAAACAAGACACCACTTTTGCCACTTCAAAGTTTCACTAGGAAAGATTCCAAAATCATATACCATAACCTCTATAATAAATCATCTTCAGTTAACATATAATAAAAGATATAAATAGGATGAAGAAAAGAAAACAGTGTTACCAAAGAACAACTGTGCCCCCTCCCAAAGTCAGCTGAAGGTAACACCTACGGCAAACCTCAGGAGCAACCTATAGCTAAGAGGGCTAAGTATAACTTTTGCACTAAAATATCACATTTCTTACACTATGATGTCACAAAACTTTAATTTTACTACTAAAGTATTCAATAATAAAATAAGAATATTTTAAATTTTAATAAAATTTCATTAAAAATTGAAAGGGCTGATAAATGCTTCATTCTTATTTTTAAAGAAGTTCATGGTAATATTAGCTTTGGCCCAATTCTTATTTTGACACTTGGCCATTCTGCATTTAGCCAAACAGAGAATTCAGTGCACCTCTAATTTCTAGATATTCATAGAGAGGATTGTAATTACATAGGAAGATCTGGACGGACAAACCCATTGGATGATGGTGCTGAAGGTGGTAGTGATGCTGATGAGGACGATGACGTAATAGTTGAAATTTACACAGGACTCTCTGTATGTCAAACACTGTTGCTAAGTCCTTTACATAGCTGATCTCATTCAATTCTCACACCAATCCTGTGAAGTGGGAACATCAGTACGTCTGCTTTACAGATGAGGGAACTGAAGAAGAGTGAGGTTTGGCAACTTGCCAAAGGTCACCCAGCCTGTAAGTGGCAGATGGGACTCCCTCCCACACAGTCTGCTCCAGAGTCAATCTAGCCACTCCGCACACCGCCTAAACAGCAGAGAGTAATAGTGCGTGCCTCCGGGGAGGCGGTGCCAGAGGGAGGAGGGCCTGATGACAGGTGGCCTTTGCTGTTAGACTCCAAATACTTCAAATTTAGGCAAGAAAAAGAAAGAAAAGGTATCCAAACTGGAAAGGTTAATAATTTTAAATACAGTAAATATTTTAATGTTACCTGAAAAAAATTGATACTTTATTTATGAGTTATTTTTACATTAGCCAAACTACTAAGCTAAAATTTCATTTCATACTAAAAAATTATGGTAAACCCAGATTTTGATCAGGCCTTCTTAGTTTATCAAATCCTCTAGCCTTTTAACGTGTCATTTAAGGCAGGGAGAGAGGCTGTTTCAGTCCACATTCTTAAAACAAGGACCTGTATGCATACACGAGAAGGTAATTGTGACTCCCTAACAGAAAAGGTAGAACAGAATTTCCACAGGAACAGAATTCCAAGGGGAAGGGAAATCTCTCTTCCTGGCAGTAAAGGGTTAGGTCTACCATCATTTTTGGCCTAAAGCAGGGTGAGCCAGGGTTGCAATGGGAGAGGTGGGGACTCTGGCAAGTTGAATGGAGCATGCTCATCTAAAGAGAACAGCTGCTCCCCAGCCAGTTGTTGCCATCTAAAACCGTTGACCTCATGTAGTCAAATCATCTAATTTTTCAAGGGAAGCTAGAAATAAAGATTTTTACATTAAATCTTCTGTATTTAAACTAAAGTTTCCAAAAAATATCATATGGGAAAAAAACAAAAACAACAAAACATCTGCAGCTCTAATTTAGCCAGTGGGGCCATCAGTTTATAACCTGTAGCTTACAGAGACACCTTATTAACGTTTCATCTAAAAAGACCAATTCTAGGTAACTAAAGTTTTTTCAGAAGTTAGAGTATTTCCTCACAAATATGCATCTCAGAAGGTTCGAGGCTTCTAAAGAATTTTAGATGCTGTATTATTGAGTCTCAGTAATCTACAAATCTTGCTAAAATATCTTCCCCACAGGACAGGAATTCCAGCATTCAGACAAACCATACCTCTGCCTCATGGCTAGGTATCGGAGGTCCAGGCACCCCTTAACAACGAGGCCATAGTCCTGCAGAAGCTTGCTGGCATCTTCTGAACATCCTACTCCAACTTTTAAAATAGTGTCATCGGCCAAAATGTCCAGTAACGTTTTTGGTAGTGTTTTTCCTCCACAGACCAGCTTGGGCAAGCGAACCAAGACACAGAAGCCACTTGGGGAGGCCATTTGAAGGAGTGACAGAGGACTGGCTTTGCCTTCCAAATTCACCTGCAACAGAGGAAAACGGCCAGAGTTCACACTGTAACACAGCACCAAGCACAACACGAAACTGGCAAAAAAGTCTACGAGGTACTTCCTTAACTTCCCAAAGTGAGCAGCTAACCGGATTGTGGTTCAAACCTAAGGATGAGCCTATGTTAACAAACGCAACAGACTCAGTCAAGCAGCAGCCTAAGCAAAGGTTACTGAAGGCCCAAACAGGAGCCTGAAATATGAGCAGTGCATAAATAGGGACCAGCTGGCATGGAAGAGCGCTGGGGTACGCACTGGCAGAGTCATGTGAAACATACTGGTTTTAAAAGGCCACGGAGTAGAATGCCAAATGAAACATACTCTTTTCATTATCTAAACTCCCTAACATAGGCGCTAGTATCTCATTTACCTCATCATCACTGCCTCAAGATCCAATTTTTAAAAAGAGGTAGGAAATACAGTACTATAAATAAGTGGTATTGCCAATATAATAAAATCCTAGGAGCACAAAGTGCTTTCTCAGCATTTTATGGTCACAAATGTTGCTCATAAAAGAAAAAATGTACATTGTGTATAAGCTAGGATCCTTCTATCTTAAGAAATGAAAAAACTTTATATATTAACTGATCTAGATTTAATTTTTGTGAGGTAATAAACTGGAGAAAATGGTGAAAGCCAAGGAAGTTATTTCCAGAAAAATTTACATACAAAATTCACATTAATTAAAGGTTCCCTAAAGTGATCCACCGAACCCAGGTTAAGCATCCAATAAATTCCAATCCTCATTTTTCAGGAGAGGAAATTTAAAGCCTAAAACCGTAGCAGTTTGCCCAAACACAGAGAGAGAGAATGGCAAATTCAGCACTAGAAACTGAATTTCCCAGTCTCTAGAACAATAGTTCTCAACCAAGAGTGATTTTGCTCCCCCTACCCCCACCCCCGGGGACATCCAGCAAGGTCTGGAGAAATTTTTGATTGTCACAACTTGGAGGAGGGTACAATGGCATCTAGTAGTTAGAGGCCAGAACGCTGCTAAACATCCTACAATGTCCAGGACAGCCCCTCAAAGAACCAGTTCTCTCACCACCATGTATCAGTGCGCCGGGCACTGCACCAGGCGCCACTTGGATATAAAGTTACAGAAGAGGTGGGACCTGCCTAAAGGATTATAACCTCATAGGTGGAGTATGATACACACAAGCTCACACCTGCAGAGATGACATGGTAAATACCGAAGGAGTGGTTCACACATAGTTTACAAGTACTCAGAAGAGAGGTATTTCACAGTTGAGGTGATCAAAATCACAGAGGGGAAACAGTCAAGATCACAAAGAGTTGCTGCTAAAAACAAAATTCAGGAGGGCCTTCACCCTCAACTTCTACTTTAGTGCCAAGTAAAACCGCGATTCCCCAAGATTCCCCCGCTCAGGCTCTGCTCTATCAGTGAGGGCATTTCCGCATCCTCCCGTGAAAGCGTGCCAGTTTGATCTCTAATGTGTCTGTTTCTTGGGGTTCGGCCAAGGTGAAAAAGACCTACAAAAAACTTGACTACTGGCTTCTATTATATACCAATTCATCGAGATGTGGCCAAACTGCCATTTTAAATGAGTAATTCCCTCCCTCTGTGATACCAGCTCTCTCCAAGAAAAAGCTGTAAATCTCTACTTTCAATATTTAGCACTGCTCATTTGACATAATCCTCACTGTGAATTCCTAAGGCCGGATCTTTGTACATCTTTTCAGTCAGGTTCCATTTTCTAAAATACATTAAATAAATAGAGACACAGAGATAGGTAAGTTGTCTTTTTAACACTGTTTCTGGATTGTGCTTAAGATCCAATGTATCACAAATTTCTCCCACTAGGAATCCAAATGTTTATGATTCCACTAGATACCAAATTTACACTGAACGTGTAATTGGAAGAATAATGCTTCTAACAGTCAGTTTGGCTTAAAAAAAAATCTATATTTATTTCTCATATTTCCCCCTTTTGCTTTCTTTTTTTTTTTTAAGATTTTATTTTTTCCTTTTTCTCCCCAAAGCCCCCCAGTGCATAGCTGTATATTCTTCTGTGGGTCCTTCTAGTTGTGGCATGTGGGACACCGCTTCAGCGTGGCTCGATGAGCAGTGCCATGTCGGCACCCAGGATGCGAACCAACAAAACACTGGGCTGCCTGCAGCGGAGCGCGCGAACTTAACCACTCAGCCACGGGGCCAGCCCCATCCCCTTTTGCTTTCTAATGTCTTTTAGCCTTGACATCACTTACTACTCATGGAAAACAATGGAACCCTTGGCTTACCAATGTTATATCTAATAGGAAAAAAATGACATTTTAATTTCATTAGCATTATTTAATCCAGTGGTTTCTGATTTTTTTTTTGATTAGTCAATTCATATAAAAAGTATTTGGGACATACACTATATATGCATATGGACTTATAAATTATATACTGATGTGTTAGAGACACTATTAAATATATACAAAAGTAAGAATTTTAAATGAATGATGCGATCAATCATTTATAGACAAAATTTCTAACACTTTTTCTGTATTTCAGTGATTCACTTAGAGAGCACTGGTTTAGAGATCCTCCTTCCTAAGGGCCAGTGGATAATCCATTTTAGCTTCAGGATTCTTAAAAGTCCAGAGCCGATAAAACTTTCTGGAAAAGCCCGTGATTCTTTAAATGACCCCAGGATGGCAGCAGAGAGTAAAGAATGATCTGGGGCCATATTCCAGGCTGGAACAGGTTAACTAATAAGCACCCCTAGTCTGTGGAGTTTATCTATTAGTTAAATTAATACCACGACTTTGAGACAGGAATGAGCTTGCCTTGTTCAAGTGACAGAATGAAGACCCAATGAGGTTAGAAAGTAATAAGAGGATGGGAAGAAAACAGGAAACAAAATCAGAGGTGTTGAGAGAGACCAGAGCATGTAAGTCCTTAATAACATGTAAGTAAAACATCTTGATTTTATCAAAGCAATGGGAGGGTTTTAAGCAGAAGACTGACATGATCTGATGTGCATTTTAGAAGACCACTTTGGTTACTGTATGGAGAAGAGATTCTAGGTGCACAAGAGTCCAAGAGGAGGCCAGTCAGGAGGCTACTGCAATAGTCCAGACGAGAGACACTTGAGGCTGGACTAGGGAGAAAGTAGAGATGTGGAGAAGCAGACGGGTGCAAAATCTATTCTGAAGATAGCTCTGGTAATACTCTCTAAATGGGAAGGGAAGAGAGGGGTTAGTAGTAAGGAAAAGGGAGTGGACCTCAGGCAGGACTGAAGCCTGGGCCTGCAGAAGGATGCTCTTGGGAAAGTAATCTTCACTTCATTCATTCTTTACTGCATCAATTATTTGTACCTGTTAAGCAAGGACGTCTGTAGTCAGAAACTCCAGAAAAAAATCAGGCAAGAGACAGGGGCCAGGAAGATATTTAACATATCTGGGGCCAGCCCTGTGGCTGAGCAGTTAGGTTCGTGTGCTCCACTTTGGCAGCCCAGGGTTTCACTAGTTTGGATCCTGGGCACGGACATGGCACCGCTCATCAGGCCACGCTGAGGTGGCGTGCCACATAGCACAACCAGAAGGACCTACAACTAGAATATACAGCTACATACTGGGGGGTTTTGGGGAGAAGAAAAAAAAAAAGATTGGCAACAGATGTTCGCTCAGGTGCCAATCTTTAAAAAAAAAGAAAAGATATTTAACATACCCACCCCCACCTCCCCAGGAGAAAGGCAATAACAGCTTCTAAAACATGGCAGCATCCTCATTTTGTGCAGGTGAGTTATCCATAGTTGTACATCACCATGGTAACTCTAGGGGATCTGGAAACCATGCCTCTATTTTCTAACAAGTGTTAGTTCCTGCATTCCATAACCACTTCTTTGAATTTCCATATATTTTGGCATTAAAGAAACAACATACTATACCTGCCTGTCTGTGTGTTTGACTTTCAATGATATCACTTCTGTTAGAAAACCCTTAGTGGGGAGGATGTCTCCCTGATTTTAATCTTAAAGGCAGAGAAGACTAGGGATAATACAGGTTTGGGAAGAAAAATCAAGAGTTCTGTTAGGAACACGTTCAGTTTGAGATGACTATTAGACCTTCAAAGGGAGACGTCAAGGAGGCAGGTGGATAAAAAAGGCTAGAGTTGTAATTTCGAGTCATGAGCATATGGATGATATTTAAAACTATAAAAGTAGATGAGATCACTTAGGCAAAGAATGTAGATTAGAGGACATAAATTAGTGGTCCATGGACCCATATGCTAACCCACAGATGTGTTAAATATTATTTTTTGGTCTCCATATATTTAAAAACTTGTGCCAGAATTTAAAAATTAGCAGAGTTTACATTTTCTTAAAATCTATATTCCAAGTTTTTCTTAAAAGAAGTGGACAATCTGGCAACACGTACAGCAGCTTCCTCTTTTATATAAGGCATGAATTCTCTCATTCACCAGAATGTCTTCTAAACACTGAAGCCAACTATCATTTTTCATTTCTCATTTATTTGTACACCACTGTTTTCCTAATACAAAGGAATAATTCTCAATATCTCTGTCTCTATCAAAACTAGGAAAATGGAAGATAGATCATACAGGCCTTGTGTTTAAAGAAAAAGTGAAGAAGCATACTTCTTTATGAAATTTAAGAATATTCTTATGTATCCCAAAATGCAAACAATCACTCTACATCCTTCATTTACATTTCCTGTCTGGACCTCATAGGAATCTGAGTTTGCAGTCTCTGGGGTGGACACAGAAGGACCAAGCCTGAGCCATCTCAGTATTTAGAAGTCAGATAGAAGGGGGACCAGAAAAGGAAAAAGAGGAAAGAACAGTAAGACAGGAGATAGGAGAATGTGAGGGCATAAAAGCCAAGAAGAGAGTGTCTAGCATAGGAATTGTGCAGGTGCTCTTGAGAGCTGGAATAATATGAGTCCAAACAAGTGTCCATTGGATTAGAAAACAACAAAGCCATCAACTTCAACAGCGTCAGTGG